TTTTTCCTCATTTAATAAATACATCTTTGAATTTTCTTTATCTAAAGTCTAGTATTTTTACAAGAATATGCCATTGTGTTGGTCACTTGGATTTCTTTGGCCAAGCTTAATATGTGTTAATTTCCAGTTAATTTTAGGTTCACGCTTTTTTGTTTGTTTTGTTTTGAGAGAGGATTTCTCTGTGTAGTCATGGTGTTTTTGTAACTCCCCCTATAAACCAGGGTGGCTTCAAACTAGATCCTTTCATAAGCATCCATAGATACGATTACACTCTTATAGTTGGACTTTATATGCTATTGGATTATTTTGTTATTGCTGACTTTCTACCCTTATTTTCTGTGCTAATTTGATTTCAAAACTAGACAATTACAAAAAGGATAGTGAGTGTTTGTTTTCTTAATGGGGTGCCTCTATTCATAAGTCACGCATTTGTCCTTAATAAATAGAAGACATTGTTTTAATCTATGCACCAAAGAGTTTGAATAGATTTTATGATAGGAGAAAAATGTGTGTTTATCCATTCTTTGCATTTATGGTCATTTGTAAAGAGCTAGTACTAAAGAGCTATAAATGTATCTTTTTGTAAAAATGCTATATGGCATTTTGGCCCTTTACTGAGTCTGACCAAGCTCAAGTTCAGGAGGTGGAGAAAAACAAGCACGTTTGGTTATTGTAATATGCTTGGAAGTTCCTTAGGTTTAAGCTCCATTTGCCCCTTCAGTGGCCCTCTCTACACCACAGCAAACAGTCTGTCATGATGGGCGGGGAGAGCATGTGCATTCCTTTTTTTTTTTTTTTCTTTCGAGACAGGGTTTCTCTGTGTAGCTTTGTAGCCTGTCCTGGAGCTCACTCTGTAGACCAGGCTGGCCTTGAACTTCACAGAGATTCACCTGCCTCTGCCTCCCAAGTGTGTGCCACTACCATCTGGCAGAGCATATGCATTCTTAACTCTTTTTTTTTTAATGGTTATAAATATTGAATGGCCATGCCTCATTTTCATTACTGAAAAATAAGCTGTTCTGTAAAACTATATTTGTTATTACAACAAGAGAAACTTGGGGGTTTTTTACTTCATTTGCACATGCGGGACATGGCAGAGTTACTGCTGGGAGCGGAGGGGTTTGAAGCCAGCAGGACAGCATGGCATTGGAGCTTCATGGAGAATTTTGCCATGTGCACTGCATTCATTCATTCATTCATTCATTTATTTATTTAGGGCAACTCTTTTTGAGAATTTGGGGTTGGGGATATAAGGTTTTATAAAGCTACCCAGTTGACAAGGGACAGTTGGAACTAGAACAAGTATTCCCTATCATCTCCTAAAACTGAGCATTTATTCTCAAAAAAGACTGGCTTTGGCTCATAAAAGAACACCTTGTATTTTAAAGCAATCATAAACTTAACACACTTAATCAAATATTTTCAATGAAGTTTTAGATGATAAGAGGAAAAAAATTTAATAGTTAATATAATATGTAGTAAAACTTAAAAAAAACCAATACCTTGCACGTACAAATAGATTGTCTAAAAACTTTGGGTTTTGGTTAAAATCCAAGAATCTGACAGGTTTTAAATTCATATAATATTCCAGAATGTATATGACAAATATTTGTCATATTATTAAAAGTGAAAAGTCTGTGTAGCATGTATGCAAGCAGACAAGTTATTCATTTCGTGGGCATCACTGCAGCTCTATGGTGAATTTGTAGTTCACAATGAAGGCCAGTGCAGGCCAGTCTTCTGGCGGCTCACATAGTGAAGGACTTAACTTGCTCATCGCTTACTGTATTGGCTGAACAATTAGGACTGCAGTAGAAAAAAAGCATTAATATAAAATACATGTTTCACATAGAAAAATGAGTGTGGTATGTGTGTATGTGTGGTGTGTAGTGTCTGTGTTTGTGTGTGGTGTGTGTTTGTGTGGGTGTGTGTCCTTTATGTGCTCACATAAATGCACAACTGAATCATGAATCATAATAGCTAAAAGAGTCTTAACAAATGATCAATTTTAACTCTCAGTTGTTACCGCTGACCTGAAAACCAAAGAGAATCTGATCAGAAAGTTCTTTTCTAAGACATTAATTATTGAAGGCTCAGCGCTAAGAATCCTTGACCTGCTAATTAGGTACCAGAAGCCAGCCTTCATTATCAGGGGCTGCAGGAGTCCGAGAGCTAAGCCCTTTTAGCAAAGGTCATGATCCATTGTGGACAGCAGTATGTGTGCTGGTTAGTTTTCTAACGTCACCTTCAAACGCAGAGTCTGTCCTTTAATGATCACACTGTGATGTAATTTGTGCTTGCGTGTGGTTGTTGGAATGAAAGTGAATTTAATCATTTATTAACAGGGGAGCTTCAAGTAGTAACTGTGTGGAGGCTTTTTGCTTAGAATTGCAAATAACCTTTTCTATGCAAATGTCATGTTTTTAAAATGTGTCTTTTTTACATGCGTAGTGAGAGTGGGAACTACTAATGATTATGATTACCAAGGTGCCCTCGGTAACCTAAAAACACAATGCACGGTCCAAAATTGCCACTCATGCATTTGAGTCCATTCCTCTTGCAGAACTCTAAATGGAATTTATAAGAAAAACATCTTTATAAGTAGGTAAGAATTGAAAATTTTTCATCTTAAGGTTATTGCTTAAAATATGTTTTAGAAAATGCACCGAAGTACACTTATGCCTTTTGAATTACCCAAGAGTAATGTGCTCATTTAAGCAAGTTGCCAGGGTAACCAAGTCTACCCTTTGAACTTCATTTCTCTTTTTCAGTTATTTGACGATGTGCATCATCTGAACTCTTGAGATCACCATGGAATCTATGTCATCCCTACTAATGGACAGAGCCGGATAGAGTTCCTCCATAAAAACAGTGCATTTGGGACATACCTTACAATGAGTCTGTCCTAGATGTATGGTAATATAAATGATGCTTAATCCATGCAGGTTCTCAGTCTGGCTCCAGTGTTCATATTTTGAAAATGTGCTCATTTAATTCAATATTAATTACAAAGTTATTATGATTTATACAAGCTGTGATCTCAGTGCTATTGTGAAAACATTAAATGAACCCCAATTCTATCTCTAGAATAGAGTACATTTAAAGATTATTTATGAATAATTTAAGAAGATGGCTTAACAGATTTTCTTAAAAAATCTTAGCAGATTTTTAGTATTATTTTTCAATAATCATGACTAAATTATTCTATTGTTTTCTAAATTCTTAAAAATTTAGGACTCTAAACCAAATTTAGGAGCCTAAAATATTAATTTTTATGTATATTATATAAAATTTTAGGAAGACATCACATTATTCTTTGCTCATGATAGACTTCCCAAATAAGGTGAATAAGAAAGTGACATAGAAAGTAAAACAAGAACTAGAACCTGGTCTTGGTTGCCTCTGTATAACCAGACAGGACCTTCTACTTGCTTCCGAATAGTCTGAGCTCAGAAGCACTGTGATGTATAGCTCAAGTGTATATGAAAATAGAGAACATAGTTTAACATATGGCCATACCTTGGCATTGACCTAAAGAGCAACATATTTTTGTTGTATGGAACTTCTTTATTCTTACTAGTACATTCTTGATTGTGTTTGTAAATAGTAAAGAAAGAAGAAGAAGAGAAGAAGTAGGAAAGGAGTAGTAGGAACATGTAATTTCTTTTATGAGGTTTTCAAACCATAAGGATTCTAAAATATAAGTATCCAAATCAGTGACATATAGATCAATTTCAGATTTATGCACTTTAGATTTTAACAGTCATGTGTAATGATAAGATATTCCAATAGACACAGATATAATGATATAATGTAGTCTCTACCCATAAAGCTTAGGGAATATAAAAAGGAGCAGAAATATTGCAAAAGCCAAAGGATCCCGATATCTACTAGGAGATAATGTCTTTGGCATGGGAAAGTAAGCTATACTCATAAAATCTCAACAATCCATCATGTAATGAAGACCTACATGATGGTGAGATCAGTTGACATCCCTCATTAATGGAGAAAATCTCACAATGCCCATTCTCTAATTGAAGATCTAAAGGCAATCAATGGCTGCCAAGGGAGGCAGAATAACACTAATCATGGGTTGAGCCCATGACAGGTGTCTTTCAGCACATACTAACAAACGCAGCATTAAAAGAACTCAGCGTATGTGCAAGGATAATAACTAAAGAAGAGGTCACCAAGTTGAGAAACAGTGGGGGCACAGGAGAAACTGGGAGGGAGAGTAAGGGGGTGAAATGAGGAATATACAATATTCATATATGGAATTCTCCAAAAAGAAACATACATCTTTAAAAATGTGCAGAGTTTCACCAAACAAATAATGGCAAACATAACATTATATGTAAGGCTTTTTATGTAGCAATAAAGAAGATCGAAATTATTACATCCACAGGAAATGGTTAGAACTCTAGATCTTTATGTTCAGCAAAATGCAGTCATAATCTTATAGGAAAAACAAGACTGTTTGTTTGTACTGGTTCGTTTGCCACCTTAATACAAAGTAGTCACCTAAGAGAAGGGGCAGCAGTGAAAGTATTACCTCCATCAGAATAGTTTGTGGGCATTTCTATAGGACATAAAAATATTATTAAGGGTTAATGTGAGGGGACCTGGTCCATTTGGGGCGGTGTGACCTCTGGCAAGATGATTCTGGTTGAAAACAAGTCAGTAAGAAGGCTACTCCATGGTCTGTGCTGTAGTTCCTGGCTTTGAGTTCCTGCCTTTGGTTCCCTCAATGATGGATTTTGACCTAGGAGTGTAAGATGAAAAAGAAAAAAACCTTCCTGCTTAAAAAATATATTCCAGCCTCACCAGTCAGACGAGTTGAGATGCTAAAATGTCTACACCATGAATCTTATTCACATATAACAAAATCCTATTATTGTTCTTCAAAGAAACACAGGGAAAGGATGATCTTTTAATAAAGAGTTATGAAAATCTGCTTATACCCAGTGGAAAGAGTGATACTGGAGGACACCTGCTCCATATACAAAAATAATCTTAAAATTGATTAAAAGATTATTTTTATACCTGGTACTCAAGAAGCCACTTGAAAGAGGTATAAGAAACATTATGTTGCAGGTACTGTGAGTTCTCAGGTAGGGATACAATAGTTCAAGCCAAAATAACTAAATGGGATCTCATTAATATGGTAACAGCCTAAGAGACTGGTGTGTGTGTGTGTGTGTGTGTGTGTGTTTGTTTTTGAGTGATGAATCAGTCCAAAGATTTACAGAATTATCTGCAAACTATAGCATGTTAGAAGTCTAATAAAATAGAAACAAATCACATGCTAAGAAACACTTACAATAATCAAAGTTGTAGTCACATTGGTTATGGTTTCTGGGTTAAATAGGTATATTTTAGATAGATAAATGCTCTGCAAACAGTTCAAAAACCTTTAGAATATGGCATTTAAAATGTTTTATTAACTTAGGCCTTTTCATGACAATGAGACACATCTGCCTCTGTCAGCATACATGAACATCATAAGAGGATGATGGGCATCAAAGAAACTTCATAGAAGTTTGTTTTCATTGTGACAAGATTAGGCGTTTGGGAAAGAAACTGGTTGTTCTTTGACTGCTTGACTATGTACCTTGAAGATTGGACACACAGGGCTCACAGGAAAGTGACAGCTGAAACAAGGCAGAACAGTCCTTTACATATCCTGCTAAACTGAAAAGTCTGTGAGATACTCTTCACCTGTAGGCTGAAAGTAGATGCCCCCAGTGTTGCAGAGGAACTTTGGGTGACTGCTCAGGCAGCATGTGATCTCTGTTGTTAGTAATATTATATTCTTCTGAGGGTCTTTGATAGAGTTGAAGACTAGATTGCTAGAGTTGCTATTTTCCTAAGTTATTATAGAAAGTAAATTAAATGTAAAACTTTAATTTCATTAAGATAGGATAGGTAATGGATTATTTTCGCTGAATATGCTAAACATAAATGGGCTAAATTTTGTAAATGTAATTCTTACTTGGTGACTGAGTTGTTGTGTGTAGTTTTGCTTTGTTAATGTTAAAACCTTGTCCTATTTAGACAGAGGGAGAAATGTTGTAGAATGTTACTTTAAGAAGTATTACATTTTTATGCTGTGGATCTGTGGGAAATTAAATTAATGATGCAAAGAAAAAAAAAAAGAAACATTTACTAAAGAACGAGAAAATAGGGTCTGGAGAGATGGGCCAGGGTTAAAATCACTTGTAGTTCTGGTGTGAGTTTGAATGTCAGCATTGACATCAAACACCTCACAACTGCCTGTAATTCTAGCCCCAAGGGATTTTTTTTTCTAGTTTACTGACAGCTCTGAAAGCCATGCTACTGCCCAACTCTAGGAAGTTTCTAGGTCCGTGCCACCATTGAGTAGCATGCTTGTCCTGCAGGATTGCGTGATATACCTGTAATATGCTTCATGTTACAATATTAAAATTGTTTCATCTTATTAGAAACATATATTGGAGCACTGTCAGTTTTATATGTACCCATGATTCCATAACTTCTAACAGGTGTGTAATTATAGAATCAGCCCTTTCAGAACTCAAAGCAGTTGCCTATTGAAATCCTGAACCTGAAAAAATGTCAGTTGTACAGTGTACATATTTTAATTTTCCAAATGCTGCAAAATGAAACACACCCATTTGCCAAATTTCATTTCTTTGCCTACTTTTGGGGTTGCTTCCTGCAGATAAAGGAGTTTTATTATAGAAGGAGCAGGGCGAGTAATTTTTAATTATTTCTTTGACTTGCTGCCAAGTGATGGAGAAATACTTTTTCAAACCTTTGCTTTTGACAAGGTATTTTTTATGAAATTCTGAGGCCCCCAGCACACTTTCTATTAATATCCAATCAATTTTTAAACAATATTTTTTTCCATTTTACATATAATCCCAGTTCCTTCTCTCTTTCCTCCTTCCACTCCCCCTACCTTCCACCAGTTCAACTCCCCATCCTTTCCTCAGAGAGGTTAAGGCCTTCCATTGGAATCAACAAAATCTGACACATCACTTGAGGCAGGACCAAGGTCCTCCTCCCTGTATCAAGGCCGAGCAAGGTATCCCTCCATAGAGAATGGGTTCGAAAAAGCCAGTTGTTGCACTAGGGGATAAATATGGGTCCCATGGCCAGTGGAAAACTGCCGAAGTCACACAACTGTCATCCACATTCAGAGGACCTAGTTCAGCCCTAGGCAGGTCCTCCAGCTGTCCGTCCACAGTAAGATCTCCCACTAGCTACAGTCAGATGTTTCTGTGGGTTTCTTCATTGTAATCTTGACCCCTTTGCTCATATTATTGCTTCTTCCTCTCTATGACTGAACTCCAGGAGCTTGGCCCAGTGTTTAGCTGTGGATCTCTGCATCTGCTTCCATCAGTTACTGGGTGAAGGTTCGATGATAACAATTAAGGTAGCAAGCAAACAATCTACTTGCAGGGGAAGGGCAGTTAAGGAGGCATGCTCTCAACTATTGCTTGCTTAGATACTTTTTTCCTTTCAAGACAGGGTTTCTCTGTAGCTTTGGAGTCTGTCCTGAAAATAGCACTTGTAGACCAGACTAGCCTCGAATTGACAGAGATCCATCCTGCTGGGATTAAAGGCATGCACCACCACCACCTGGCTTTTTGCTTAGATTCTTAGCTGGAGTCATCCTTGTGGATTCCTGGGAATTTCCCTAGTGCCAGGTTTCTCACTAACCTCATAATGCCTCCCTCTATCAAGATCTCTTTCCTTGCTCTCCCTCTCTGTCCTTCCCCCAACTCAAACTTTCCAATCCCTCATGTTCTCCTAACCCCTCTTCTTCTCCCTGCCCATTACCTTCCCACCCTCCCCCTCTCCCACACTCCCAATTTACTCAGGAGATCTTGTCTATATCCCCATCCCAGGGTAATCCATGAATGTCTCTCTTT